ACACATGTTGCCCTATGACAATGGTTAACAACTTCACAACACATCAACACTATCCTTACTCAACCTTGGGTTCCCTATCACCAGCTTTCCTGTCCCCCCCTGCCCTCTAGTCCCCGTCCCTGGACTGCTGTGCCTCACCAGTCCCAGTTGGTTCTATGGGGCTGTCCACTCCCCAGCTGAACGGTAAACCTCGGAAGTGACTTCACCACCAAGCCAACAGGGTGTCTGGGGGCCATACTCTCAGGGTTTCTCCAGTCTCCTTTAGGCCAGTAAATCGGGTCTTTTTTTTTTGTGAGTTAGAGTTTTGTTCTACACCCTTCTCCAGCTCTGTCCAGTACCCTCTGTTGTGATCCTGGTCAGAGCAGTCAGTGGTGGTAGCTGGGCAGCATCTAGCTGTACTGGACTCAGTCCAGTGGAGGCCCTGGTAGCTGTGGTCCATTAATCCTTCGGACCAATCTTTCCCTTGTATCCTGTTCTCTTCACACTCCCTTGCTCCCGAAGGGATGACACCAGTGGAGTATCTTAGATGGCAGCTCACCAGCTTTTAAGACCCCAGAAACTACTCACCAAGGTAGAATGCAGAACACTGTCTTCACAAACTGTGTTATGCCAGTTGAGCTAGATGTTCCCTGAGACCATGGTCCCTACAGCCCTCCCCAGCAATTCAGTCCCTCAGGGAGTCTGGATGCCTGTGGAGCTTCCATGAACTTAGCAGTCTTCTAATTGCTTCCTTGCCCCGCTTAAATTCATCCTCCACCCAGCTCTAAGAGAAATTGTCCTGAAGTGCAGCTCCAGCAAGTTTCCCGCGTGCTTACAAACCCTCCAGTGGTCCCCCATGCACTCAGGATAAAACCCAAAGTCTTCAGGGGGATCTGATTCCTCTCTTCTTCCCAGCCTCAGCACCACTGCCCATCTGGGATCCTTCCCTCCAGTCACACCACACAACTTGGCAGATCCCCGCAAACAGCCAAGCTTTGTTCATTGCCAGGCCTTGGCCCATCAGAAAATGCCTACGCAGCCTTCTGGATTCAGCTCAGATATTCCCTCCCTGGGAAGCATTCCTTGACACTCCCTCCTTCCCCTGAATTTTGTTGGAGCCTTCTCTATGAGCTGCCTTAAGACCTTCTTTTAAATTTGTTTTAATTATTTGTCCCCAATCCCCCACAAAGCTACAAACTTCCTGAGAACAGGGAAATTTATTATTTTTTGTGGCATTTTTAGCATCTAACATAGCACCTGGCACAAACTGGATGCTCAATAAAATAGCAAGCTAATCAATGTCATAATAGATGCAGGGCTTATGCTGTGATCAGCTGGGTTATTTCTTCCATCATAATCATTGTCACCATCATTAGCATCATTAGTTCAACAGTATCATCATCACCTAGCAGAGACTTCAGACCATCCAGTAGTATCATAAGTGGTGAGTTCTATTCTTTGCATGGCAATTATTGCCTTCCTCCAACAGTCACAGACTAAGTGGACCCATAATGAAGCAGAAAGGACCAGTGAGATTAAAGAATCACTCAACATTATTCTCCAAGGAAATGCTACCAGAACTAAATCTCATAGGGGATAAAGCATGGGCCATTGAGGAAACCAGGCAGTGTAAGAGAGAGTTCAAGTTCAAACACAGACACCATCAGGGAAACAACATTGGGAGGTGGACGAGGGTTATCTGGGTTCCACTCCTCTCCTATGTGGGCGACCTGCCTGCTGTAGTTCAGCGTCTTCTGGGCTAAACTATACCCTCATCCTTACCTTTTCCTCCACCAGCAAGCTTCTCATCCTGTGTTCCATGCTCTTCTTTCTGTCTATTGACAAGGGGCTGACTGAAGGTTCAGAACTAGTAAACCCGAATGAGGTACTCTCAGGAAACAGAGACCCTTCACCATCTAGAATTGTCTCTTTGGATATGAATGGGAAGTAGTCAGGAGAGCCTGTCCATGTCCTGGAATCATGCATAGATGGAAAGACAGCCGTAGCAGAATCCATGCTCAGGACAAAGGATAAGGGAAAACCAAGCCATTCAAGTCACATGGTCTCCAGAGGCAGTGACAGCCACCTCCCCCAGCCAGCGTCTGCAGTAAGACCGAAGGTAGAACATGTGACTCACCATCAGCACCGCCCTTCGGAAGAGTCTGGCGTTCACAGCCCTGGTGGTGAGAAGCTGGATGCTGGCCACGTCGGCCCCACCGCGGTCTGCTGCCAGGGACACACGCTGAGGGTCCCCGCCGAACTCTCTAATGTGGGTCTGCACCCAGCTCAATGCCGCCACCTGGTCCATCAGCCCCCAGTTTCCACTCACATCGCTGGACCCTTCAAAGAAGAAGAAAGCCTTTTGTAATGACTTTTGCAGCCTCAGGTATAATAATCACAGTCTTGTCTACACTAGCTTCCAGTTTCACTGGGGAGACTAGACACTTGTCCCCATAGGTCAGGACTATTGTTTCCAAATACAGGATGGGACAGTGGGAAGAACACGGACTTCAGAATCACACATACCCTGGCTGGAATTCTAGCTTTAGCCTTTGCTGGCTAGGAGACCTTGGACATGTCACTTAACCCTTCTGGCTCACGACTTTCCTATAGGTAAATGAGGGCATTGTCTGTGTTCAGATTACAGCTAATGCATGCTCATACCAGCCCTTGGTTGGCACAACCAGTGGGAAGGAGACAAACCTCCTACCCCACATCTCCAACCCCACACGCCTCCCTTCTCTCTCACCAGGCCTTGCCCAGCTCTTGATCCCATACCTTCCTGCTTCATCTTCTGCCACCTCCCAATAGCATTCCATCAGGTTCATCTCGCTTTCCTTCTTCTATATAATTCAATAAATATTTGCTGAGAGCCAGCACTATGTAGTTTTGATGTTGTTTTTAATGAAATGGTTCAGATACAAAGTAGTAGAAACACGCTCTTCTCCTTAGCTGTTTGAGACACTACAGGTCCTCATCCTTCTGGTTGTCCTCAAAACTCGATGGATTCTCCTTAACAATCTACTCTCCTGACTTCTCCTTCTCCAACAATCCCTGAAATGCCGACCTTGTTTTCAGTTTGATGTGAGGCCCACTTCTTTTCTGACTGCACTAGGAAATGCCATCAGATCCCAGGGCTTCAATTACCACCTACATGCTGATGTCTCTTGGATGTCTGCCCCCAGCTCCAGACTGCTCAGTTTTCCACGCAGCTGACACAGTCACCAAGAGTTCATCCAGCCTCCTGAGCATTTCAAGTTTGTTATCTCCTTCAACCACCACCCATCTGCCAGCTTGTCATACTTTGGTGGCTTGTGTGTTACTGACACTGGAAGATACACCCCTGGTATTTTTTGTTGTTGTTGTAGTTTAAGTGAAAGTTTACATTTCAAGTTAGTCTCTCATACAAAAGTTTATACATACATTGTTATGTGACCCCAATTGCTCTCGCTATATTATGACAGCACACTCCTCCTTTCCACCCCGATTTCCCGTGTCCATTCAGCCAGCTCCTGACCCTCTCTGCCTTCTCCAGACAGAAGCTGCCCATTTTGTCTCATGTATCTACTTGAGCTAAGAAGCACACTCTTCACGAGATCATTTTATATCCCACAGTCCAGTCCAATCTTTGTCTGAAGAGTTGACAGAGAGCCCAGGGGCCATGGTTTCTGGGCTTCCTCCAGTCTCAGTCAGACCATTAAGTCTGGTCTTTTTACTAGAATTTGAGTTCTGCACTCCACTTTTCTCCTGCTCCATCAGGGACTCTCTGCTGTGTTCCCTGTCAGAGTGGTCATTGGTGGTAGCCGGGCACCATCTAGTTCTTCTGGTCTCAGGCTGATGCAGTCTCTGGTTTATGCACCACTGGTATTTTAAATAAAAGCAGGGTCACCCATAGTGGACAGGTTTCAGCAGAGCTTCCAGACTAAGACAGACTAGGAAGAAAGGCCTGACAATCTACTTCCAAAAATCAACCAATGAAAATCCTATACATCACCACAGAATATTGTCTGATATAGTGCTGGAAGATGAGCCCGTAGGTTGAAAGGCACTCAAAATACACAGTGGCCGGGACAACAGATTCAAGCATACCAAGGATCATGAAGATGGCATAGGACTGGGCAGTGTTTCATTCTGTTGTACATGGGGTCACCATGAGCTGCCAACTCAATGGCAACTCAACGACAACAAAATGGGGGTAATAATAGTATGTACCTCATTCTGTTGTTATGAGAGTTAAATTAGTCGATATTTTTAAAGAGAATAGACCAGTGCCTGGCATAAAGTATTGGCCATAGAAGTATTTTGTATTAAGTAAAAAAAAAAAAGTTAGGTCTCAGCATTAGCTCACAGATGCTGTTAGCGGAAATTTTATCTGTGATGTCATCCCCGCTAAGCAGGATGCTGTGCTGTTCTTCTGGTTAGAGGGTCACAGACCCTGTCCCTGCTTGCCACCGTCCCTAGAACCCCCTGATACACTCCTCTGCCAAGAGGGAAGGGCAGTCACTGTGCACCCAATGTCCCAGGGCTGCGGAAATGGCTTCCCGTCGCCCACCCCTGGCCCCTCACTTCCTTCCAGCTGCTCTCTTCATTAGGAGCACCAGATCCTTTCAAATGCTTTTGGGCTTGGCTCACTTTTCCTCAGCAGAGAACGCGAGTTTGTCTGCTCAGCCGTGGGACTGGTGCGTCTGTTCCATCTGCCCCCCACCCCTTCAGAAGTGCACCTCTGGACACTGGAGGTCTCGGGACCCCCTTTCCATTTTGCTCTGGGATGCAACAGCAGATGCCAGCCACAGGCATTTATCAAATGCGATGAGGTACAGAGGGGGCTTTCAGCGCGGGCCCTGACCGGGTGACTGGATGGTGGCTGCTGTCCGATCACAGGTCAGCTTCGTGCCAGGTGCTGGCCAAGGCCCACTCTGGAGATGACTTCAACACAGCCCTGCCTTGAAAGAGTCCCCGTCTAGGGACAGAAAAGGGATGTCCACTTGTGACCCTGCTAGGTGCCTGGCGTGGTTCCAGGAGTCTGTTTTTCATGCATTTTATCTCACATAATTGCCCACAAGCCTCAGCCCCATCGTGTGGCAGGTGGGCAGCGTGCAAGGCGAGGGAAGCATCTACCCAGCCCCTGGCCCCACTGCGTGGCAGAGCTGCCCGTGGAGCCCCGTCCCGTTCAATGCAAGCCTGCACCGGGCAGGACGCTGGGCAACCCCATTGCAACAGCCACTTTTCCTTCTCCCTTTTCTTTCTGAATACAGACTCACCCTATCAAAGTCTGGATTTGGTTCGGAGTTTGTTTTTGACAAGGTCTAGTACATAAAGCAAGGAGCCCTGGTGGGGTTGCATAGTGGTTAAGCACTTAGCCGCTAACCGAAAGGTTGGTGGTTTGAACCCATCAGCCGCTCCTTAGGAGAAAGAGGGGGCAGTCTGCTTCCATAAGGATTACAGCCTTGGAAACCCTATGGGACAGTTCTGCTCTGTCCTGCGGGGTTGCTGTAAGTTAGAATTGACTCGATAGCAGTGGGTAGTGAATTAAGCAAAGAGAAACCACGTGTGGGCTAAACACACGTAAAGGAGCAGAGGACTGATCTTGCTCGATCGCCAGGGTTTTCTAGACGTCCGGGGTGGGCAGCTGCAGTACGACTGCGGGATTTCTTGTTGCTGCTGTTTTGTTTCACCAACAAGGTTTCAAGCCCAGCATGCCACTAGTGGGAGCAGCCCTGGCACACTGGTTAAAGCACCTGGCTGCTAACCAAACGGTTGATGGTTCGAACCCACCAGCTGGCCCAAGGAGAAAGATGTGGCAGTCTGCTTCCATAAAGATTACAGCCTAGGAAACACTATGGGGCAGTTCCACCCTGTCCTATCGGGTCGCTATGAGTCGGGATCGACTCGATGGCAATGGGTTTGGCTTTTGGTTCATGCCACGAGTGAGCACAGGTAATAAAGTATCTTGGCCTTCCTGAGTCTAGGTGTTTCACCTGTGAACTGGCCACAGGATGCGGGCCTCACAGAGCTGCTGTGAGGACTCAAGGAGCTAATCCAGGCGCAAAGTCTGGTGAAGAAAGGTGCTCGGTAAGTGTGACTGTCATTGCTGATGGTTTCCTCTAAGCCCCAGCCATGGAAGCAGCATTGGTACGGGCTGGGAATGAGAGAGCTGGGTATGCTGGAAGATTCCTTTCCCTCTCCTCAGGCTGCCCCAGTCGGCAGCCAGGATGAGTTTGCCTTTCCAGAAGCACACGAATTCTCAATGAAATTACAGTCCAGGAAATCATGGTTCCCCAGCCCCTCAGCGAGAGATGACATATGGAAATTCACACTCTTCTGTCTAGAAATGGTCTAAGCCAAACAGTCAGCCATGTCTGTGAAGGTTCTGCTGGCCCACAGTCCAATAGGACGGGTTCTGAACTTCCCCGCCTGTCAGACTTTGTCTCACGTACTTTGGACGTGTTATCAGGAGGGGCCAGTCCCTGGAGAAGGATACCATGCTTGGTAAAGTAGAGGGTCAGTGAAAATGAGGAAGACCCTCAATGAGATGGACTGACAAGTGGCTGCAACAATGGGCTCAAGCATAGCAACGATTGTGGGGATGGCGCAGGGCTGGGCAGTGTTTCATTCTGTTATACATAGGGTGGCTATTAGTTGGAACCAACTCGACGGCACCTAACAACATCAACAACAGCTGTCAGAGAAAGGGTGGCTGCTTTAACAAATCATGGTCAGTCTTGTGTTTGAAAAGAAGAATGGAATCCCAGACAAAGAATTTACCCCTCTTAAAAAAGAAAATAAACTTATGTGTGAATCTTTATATTCCCCCAAAGCTTTCGCAAACCCTCAGTGTTCATATTTGCGTCTCACCACCACATACGTGTGAACGAGGGTCGGGGATTACTTCCCTCGATGTACAAGTGGGAAAACCAAGATTCAGAGAGGTCCCATAAGGGACCCAGGGCCACACAGCCAGAGAGCAGGGGAGCTGGAAGACAGAAAGCTGAATCTTTAGGTTCCCAGTCTCATCCTTTAGCAGTTGACCCTGTTTCCTCTAAAGAAAAATCTGAAATCTACTCACACCCTATTTCTCACGTTGGCATCTGTCACTTTTTGCCTTAACTTTTCCACCTCATGTCTGCTGTCCACACTGACATCTCCTTCTTGTCATTCATGGCCTCAGGCCACGTGGACTGTCCAGCCCTCATTTCCACAGTCACCCTGCAAGTTCCCACCTCTGGTCTTGTGCTCACACTCAATGTCCCTCCACTCACCCACATTCTGGCTGAATCCTTCATTCCATCCACTCTACCTCCCACCTGCCTGTCCACACTAGCGTGTAAGATATTTCAGGTTTCAAATGAGGTGTTTGGAACACAGAGAGGAAGCTCCATCCCTGCCCGAGGCCTTGTACGGCCCATTACCACTTCTAAAGCCCTTTCACAAGCGCTACCTCACTTGAGCCCCACGGTAACTCTGGAAGCGGGGTAAAATTATTCCCATTTGATACAGGAGAAAACTGAGACTCGGAAAAAGGAAGGGTTGTGTCCAAGGTCACACAGCCGATAAGCAGCAGAGCTGGCAATTGGATCTTCAGGTTCTGAGTTGGGCGTACCCGCCCTCTGCCTCAGCTATCTGCTGCCTCTCCTACCCTTGGGCGTGGCTGGAGACAGGGAAGGAGATGTGGATGGAAGGTGTTTCCACTGGTCCAAGGCTCAACTCTGCCCTGGCAACGGGTGGGGACGGTGAAGGGCATAACCAGGGTGATAAATGGGTTCATGACTGGATATGGGGCAGGCTGATCTTCACAAGTGGGGCTGGAATGAAAGAGGACATGAGAAACACATTACCAGTCCAGTCCTCACTCCCAGCAGATGGCTTTCCTGTGGGCAGAAGAGCTATTATCCATTCCTTAAAGCTCTCCAAGGCAAATGGACCCCTGTGAATCCTGGCTCTAGTCTTTCCTAACCATATAACCTTGACCAAGTTACCATGTTTCTAACCTCCTGGGGCTTCGGTTTCTTCTTCTAAATCTCTATACAAAGCTTTCGATGTACTTGGGACAGCTTCAGACACGTAGTGAGTGCCCAGTGTCAGCGGTCACTATCATCTATGGTGTCAGCATTGCTGCAGGTGCTCATGGATATGCTGGACATTCCACTGTGTGCTCAGCTGGGCTGGAGGAGGCCAGAGCAGTGGGGGGCCAGGGCTTAGGGAAGAAGAGGGGCTGAATACACACAAAGCAAGCCTTGGCTCAGGGAGTTGGCAGACCCCAACAATGCCAGGACTCACCGGAACTCAGGAAACCGAAGATGCCCACTCGGTAGCTGGCAGTGACCACGATGAGGTTGCCAACAGCAGCCAGGAAGGAACCGTCAATCGTCAGCCGTCCTTCTCTCTCTTTGCCCTCCCTGGTGTTGTGGAAGAAAACCAGCACCGAGGCATTGGGGACCTGCAATGTTGGAGAAATATGGGGGTTGGGGGGCCCACTTTCAACCACAAGAGCTTGGTGGGTGCCCCTGTCCCGTGGTAGGTGCTGGACGCAGATGGAAGTCCAATGCTTTACCTGCATCAGGCCTCGCCTTGTCTCTGCCCTATAGGCATGCTCAGCCCCGTCTCACAGAAGAAGAAACTGAGGGTCAAAAAAGTGAAGATGCTTTGCACAACTGCAAAGTAAGTGGCAAGTGTAAGCCTTGAGCCCATCTCAGGACACCATGCAGTCTTCCAGCACCCCGGTTCTGGCCCTTCATCTACTCCTGAAGAGCATTCTGGGGTCTCAGTGACTCCTGTCAACCGGCCCCTCTATGACTGAAACCTGTCTTGGTAGTGCACGTTGGTGGTGTTGGGTGCCGAGTCGATTCTGACTCACAGCAACCCATGAGACAGAGTAGAACTGCCTCATAGGGTTTTCTAGGCTGTAATCTTTACGGAAGCAGATTGCCAAGTCTTTCTCCCATGGAGCCACTGGGTGAGTTTGAACCACCAACCTTTTGGTTAGCAGCCAAGTGCTTAACCATGTGCACCGCCATGACTCCTGGTAACGCATAGCTACTATTTGTTAAGCATTTAGTAAGGGCCAGGCACTGTGTTAAGTATGCACATGTGTTATTCACTCCGTCTTCAAATAGCCCTCTGAAGTAGACATATTAGCACTGTTCCCTCTTTACAGATGATGAAGCAGAGGCTTAGAGATGTTGAAGAACTTGTTGGTGATCACACAGCTTGGAGGTAGCAGGGCTGGGATTTGAACTCAAGTATTCTGAGTCCAGAGGCCATGCTCTGACCTGCTACGTCAGCTGACCCTTTTATATTAGAATATTACGCTTCCTGTGGGGCATCTGAGGCCCACTCCAGGCCGTGGTGTACGCAAGGCTCCTTACGGGCGGTGCCCCACCCAGGGTCCTGACCCCGTGCCCTGACTTCTCTGCTTTGTGCACAATGAGCTTCCAACTCGCAAATGCTTCTGCGCGGGTCTCTTCTCATCCACAGCAAACCCAGACTGAGGGCCAACCTCAGTGGGCGCTGTGCTGAGGGCTCTCACCCAGAACGTCTCCTCAGCTCCTCCGCCCCACGCGGTAGTTGCTACAGCGATTATAAGCACCCTTATTCTCCCGGTGTGAGAACAGAGGCTGAGAGGGAGTGGTAACTTGTTAAAACTCTTACAGAGACTAAGGGGCCAGCCCGGAACTCCCACCGACCTCCTGTCCCAGCCCACTCCCTCAGCCCTTCCCTCTGTGACTTCCCTCTCTACGTGCCAGGAACTGGGGGAATTGATTCTTCAAATAGCAGAGGCCTTTTTAAATGCGGTAGAAAAGGGCCATCTCCAGTGGTCTGGTTTCATTTGCTCGTGGGCTATCAGAGGGATCAGGGAAGTGGCCCTGTGCCCCCGTCTTAAAAGCACCCAGTTGTTTATATTGGGTGAAGTGGGGGCAGGGCGTGGAGAAGAGGCTCTGCTCTAGCCTTCTGGGACCACCTCAGAGAGAAGGAAATGCTAAAGCCCTGGATGCCTCTATGATCTACCCGGGTGGGGGCCCAGCACTGCCGCCCAGGGTGTGCTGTCAATGCCCCCTCCCAAGGCCAGGAAGGGGCCATGAAACAGCCCAAGGCAAACCTCCAAGCTCTCTTGGACTGCAAGGAAGCTGTCCTAAGGGATGTGGAGTCAGGAGACAGGGCTCACGCCGCCGCTCTGCCCAGTTGTTTGTTCTTAGAAAAGCCAGTAAGCGTCTCTTAACCTTAGTTTCTGCACCTTTAAAATGGTGGGAGAAAAACATACAGCTTTCTCCTAGGGTTGACGCGAAGTCCAATGACCTCACAGATAGAAAGGTGCTCTATAAACCGTAAAGGACTGTCACAGAGTTCCGGCTTACACAATGGCAAAAGTAGACCCTCACTGGCCACCCCTCGTCCGTCCTAGCTGTGTCCTCTGCGGCCTGACTGACTGACTACAGTAATCACTCACTAGCTGTGTGACTTTAGACAAGTCACGTAACCTCTCTGAGCCTTGGGCTTTTCATCTGTGAATGGGAATAATACCTCTCGGAGGTGCTGTGAGGATCAAAAGGAAGTATGGGCATCCAGCTGAATGCCTGGCACAGGCCACCAGAGATGGTCACCTCCTGACTCATTACCTTCCTCTTTCCAGCCCTTCCAGTATGGTCCAGCAGCTCTTCCAGACTTCTCGTACCTTTAGGTGTGATCTATCCCACTCATTCCCCTCCGACTCCACGCCCATTCCAATGTCTCTCCTATTAGCCATTTATTGATTAATTAGAATGTGGCAGGCTCAGTACTGAGTACTTACATACAGCTCAGTACTCACCACGCTGTCAGGACAAACATGTTATATATGCATTGCTTTATTTAACTCACAAGAACTTTGAGGTGGATGCTATTTCTCTCCCAATTTACAGATGAGGTAACTGAAACACACAGTGCTCGAGTTACCTTCTCAAGACCATCAAGGTAGTGGCAGAACTGGTTTGGAGCCAGGACTTAATTCCGTATTCTAGGTATGGTGTGGCAGTATAGCGCAGAATGGGACTCTTATCACCTCCCTTACTCTAGGCTCCATACTTCTATTAATGCAGCCAATGAGATCATTCACATTTTTGGTGGCCTCACTACAAGCTCACTCAGATTAGCTTACCGAGACCAAACTTCCAAAGTGTGTGTTATTCTCTGTGCTAGAAGAGGCCAGAAGACCAGGAAGCTGTGGCATGGTCACATGTACCATTGGATTCATCAATGCTTTCTGGGCTGACATCACCAGAAATTAATGTTTCCTAAAGCCCATCAGTTCCTTTTTCTCTCATGCCCTCTGTCCCTTCTCCAGCAACAGAAAACTCAAACACACAGCACCAGAAGTATAGCAACTACTTGGGAAGTTATGAGCTTCAAAACAGGGCACGGGTGGATTCAAGGTCAAAGCCCAAAACCTCACCCTCCAGAAGTGCCTCAAACAAGAGTCCACATGGAACTCTCGACAGGAATGTTCTCGAGGGGGCCTTTCAATGGATGTCAGTGGGTTTTGTTGGTAGTACACAGACTAAGTTTGAACCCCAGGTCCACCATCCCCCCGCTGTGAGGGCCTGAGTCAGGCTGGCCCCTCTCACAGGCTCCCACCACGGAACTTGTCCTCCACACCACTGCTCAGATGTCACCTCCTGGCCACCCGTCTGCTAGAACCCCTGCTGGCACTTTTTACTCCTCATCCTGCTTTATTTTTCTTCATAGTACCTCTCAGTACTTAGATAGGATTATTAGATGCATATGTGTCATGGATTGAATTGTGTCCCCCAAAAATAGCTGTCAACTTGGCTGAGTCATGATTCCCAGAATTGTATGATTGTGTACTTTTTGTAATCTGATGTGATTTCTTTATGTATTGTAAACTCTATCACTATGATGAGGTTATATGTGATTTCCTTATGTATTGTAAACTCTATCACTATGATCTAATAAAGACGGATTAGCGGCAGTTATACTGATGAGGTCTATAAGATTGGATACTGTCTTAAGCCAATCTCTTTTGAGATATAAAAGAGAGAAGTGAACAGAGACACATGGGAACCTCATACCACCAAGAAAGCAGTGCCGGGAGCAGAGCGCGTCCTTTGGACCTGAGGTTCCTGTGCTGAGATGCTCCTAGACCAAGAGAAGACTGATGACAAGGACCTTCCTCCAGAGCTGACAGACAGAGAAAGCCTTCTCCTGGAGCTGATGTCCTGAATTTGGACTTGTAGCCTACTAGACTATGAGAAAATAAATTTCTCTTTGTTGAAGCCACCTACTTGTGCTATTTCTGTTACAGCAGAGCTGGATGACTAAGACAATATGTATGTAAGCCTACGAGGGCAGCGGCTTTGTTTTGTTATTAGCTGTGTCCCAGCACCTAGAACAGTGCCTGGAGCATAGTAGGCCCTTTGTAAATATGCGTTAGGAGACTGACATCATCCATGCCTTGTGTGAGGTGGGTGAGGACGGGATGAGGCCCTGTAGGAACCAGAAGCACCTTCTGTGCATTCTGCCATTCAGGTCTTCAGGAAGCTGAGAGCCAGCTGGAACAGCACTAGGGGCAGCATGGCCTGAGTGGACCCCTGAGCTGATGAGTGAACTGATGCTGGCAGCCATGGGAAAGCAGATTTCCAATGGGGAAGTTTTCAGAGCAGCAGAGCCTGGGCCTCCGTACTCACCACGCTCTCGGGGACAAACACGTTGAGATACAAGCAATCTTCGCTGACTCCAGGAGGTTTGAGTGTTCTGGCTCCAGGCTGCCAGCAGCTGGCCCTGCAGGTACAGATCATATGACTTCCAGGAGAAACAGCCCAATGGGACAGTCCCCATCTCCACTCCCCACCCACCACCAAGGCCAAAGCCCACCACCCCATCCGTAGCCTGGCGTCCCAAGGTGAGATAGCACCAAGCTCTTCCCCAACAAGGCAGCTCCGGGAAGGGCAGATGGGAGTAGCAAGTGAATGGAAGGACAGGGTGCCTGTCACTTTCAGGCCGTGAGCACCAGGCCAAACCAGGACAAGGCTGCTGACTCAATGGCTCAAGAAAGAGAAGGGGGCAATGATGCCACTCAGGCCCTTGGCCCTTGAGGGACTTCCTTGTTCCAAGCATGCACACCTTTCACTGGATGAGCTTTTGACCTGCTTTGACACCAGTAGAGTCGCGGTGTGCCAGCTCCAGTAGAAGGGCTGAGACCATTCCTAATTTACGATGACCAGCCCACAGTGCAATTGTACTCATCACCCAAGCTTCATTGGCACTGGAATCCAGTGACCCAAGGTCTCCAAGTACTTACCACTGAAGACCTATGTGATTGGATCCCTTCATCTGTCAAATGGGTATGTCTCAACATAGTAACGCTCTCTAGTGAGTATTTGCACCTTTTGCTGACCAATGGTGGAGTAGACTTCAGTCCAGGCCTTTCTGCATCCCTACTGTCACTGTCCTAGCTGATTGATGCCTTCATCACCCCTTGCCTGAGGACTTTGGGAGCCTCCTAGCTGTTCACTCTACCTGGCCAGAAGCCTGGGACATGCCCAGCAGCTGGCCCTGGGTGGAGTGACACGGAGGCTGCAACTGCCTCAGGACAGATTAAAGCAATACTTGTTGAGAGCGGAAATGCAGGTGTGGGGGAGGGAGTAACGGTTCTCTTTTCACGGGCATTCTGTATACGTTCTAATTAGAAAAAGTACAGAATTGTTCTCCAATGCATCAGCCATTTCAAGTGGCGTGTGCATGAGACGAAATGGGCAAAATTGAAATAGTTGATGAGGGAGGGAGAAGGGATAGGAGAGCTTTTTTATTTTCTTTTAAGAAAACTCCTTTTGATATTGTCTTTATTGAAGAAAAGGAACCCGGGTGGTGCAGTGGTTAAGTGCTTGACTGCTAACCAAGTTGGTGGTTCAAACCCACCAGCTGCTCCATAGGAGAAAGATGTGGCAATCTGATTCCATGAAGATTTCAGCCATGGAAACCCTATGGGGCAGTTCTACTTTGCCCTATAAGGTCGCTATGAGTCAGAATGGACTTGACAGCAATGAGTTTGTAGAAAAAATAAAATAAAAGTACTTTTAAAATGCTTTTTCATGAGTTCCTCTACTTTTCCTTCTCTGCTGTATTTCCTGGCCCCACTGAAGCCAGAGGTGGCCAGGAGACTGGGCCCCGACTGTTGTAATACGGATGCAACTGATGTACTTGATGTATGTACCCCACCTCCAGGCTCCGCCCAAAGAAACCTCCCTTGTAGATTCTTCCACAGTCTTTCCTGGAAGCGATATCCAGGGGGACGCTGAAATTTGTGCTAGAGAAAGGAAAGGCTCTGTCAGCCTTAGCCTGAGTCCCTGAGTCACTGCATGGACAGAGCACACAGGCCTCCCTATCACCACATGGGTTTACATGAGTAAGACACTGCTGCTTGGGGCATCAATTATCTGTTAGGGCCCTTTGTGCTGTCTTAACTAATACACCCCTTCTTCTGCCCCCCACCCCCATTCTTTCCCCGTACACCACTTAACCCAGAATGCATTGCTTTGCTCCTGAGTCTCACTTTGTTGGATTAGAATGGGAGAGGGCTTCTTCGAGCACGTACCAAAATGTGCCTCACTGAACTCTTACCGGGGCTTGGTGGCATCCCAGGAGCCGGTCCAGTTCAAGGGCTCCGGGGCCCGGAAGCGGCTCTCTGCCAGGGGCGGGGCAGCATACGGAACTCCAAGGAACTGATCCACCTGCTTCCATGCAGTGCCCACCTGGATGGCCTGGGACCTGCCCAGCAGCCGGCCATGGGTGGCAATAGGCACAGAAGGTGCAGACGCATTGAAGCTGAGTGGAGAGATGCCTGTGGGAGGGGGAGTGGGTGGGGCATGGGACAGAGACAGCAATGGGTGATCTATTCGCAGGTATTCTGAATATGCTTAAATCACACACACACACACACACACACACACACACACAATCGTTGCTTTTTCACTTTTAAAAGTGTTAGTAATTCATTCAGTCCCAGTCTAGTCAAGCTAGTTTTCAATATGAAAAGAAAAAAAACAGTGAAGACAGGTGCCCTTTATTAGGCACTGAAGATACGCAAAGCACTATGCTAATCCCTTCACCTCGTATTATCTCAATAATTCTTCCCAACCAGCCTGCGGGACAGACACTAATCCAGGCCCATAATCCCTCATCCAGCACCTGGGAGCAGACGCGCTTCACAATCAGAATAGTTTGGGTTTTAAAAAGAACACAGTGGGTACACAGCAAGTAACATTCACTCCTTCCAGGGCGGACTGGAACAAGGGCCCGTCATCAAACACTCCATTATTTCTGGGGTGAAATGTGTGGATGGTTCAGACTAGGAAGGATAAATAAAGATGGCGATTTCTTCAGTGACTTCAGGTCAGACTTTGACACCAAATGAGTTTACAGCAAATTTGCAAAAACCATTTGGTTTTCAGAGTGCTTTAGATTTCAAAATTGCAGCAGAAGGATGGTGGGACTCTATTTGCATCTCACAGATGAAGTTTCGGGGCTATGGGTGGGAAGCTGTCCAAGACTACGAGCAACACAGCACTCAGATCTGCACCTTTCTCTCTGGACGGCCTGCTGCATGCCGTCTGACCACTCCCTCGTTTACACAGGGTCTCTGCTGCCCCAGGGCCCGTGCCTGCAATGTCCTCTCTGCCCCTCGCTCCTGTCCAAATCCCACCTGACCTCTAAGTCAGAGTGCTGCTTGCCGCCTCTGCTCTGTGCCCCCAAACCCCTTCTACCGTCACCACCTTGTAATGCCAATCACAGCTACGTTTATCAGCTTCTCTGCAGCCCTATCTTATCTATTGTGCTACAATTTCTTTCATTCATTCAGTCAATAAACTTTTGTTGGGTCCCGGCTCTGTGCCAGGTGCTGTTTTCGGGACCTCTGATTCCTCATAGGATTTAGGATCTCGCACAAAGGAAAAAAAACAAACCTGTGGAGAGATGCTGTGTGTGTGTGTGTGTGTGTGTGTGTGTGTGTGTGTGTGTGCGCGCGTGTATGTGTGCCATTGTTTCTAACAGGAATGTTGGTCTGCCCAGCTCCGTTGTTGGCTGACTGAGAGACAAATTTGCTGTTTTCTTTGCTTCTGTCATATATACATATTATAGTGAGGAGTAAACAGAGGATGGGAGAGGGAGACAGACAGACAGGCAGAGGTCTACTCTTTCCTAAGAATGTGGTGTAATTTGATGGTTCTCAACTGGAGGTGATTTTGTCCCCAGGGGACATTTGGCAATGTCTGCACACGTTTTTGGTGTCTTAACAGGGGACAAGGGGATGGCAGTGGGTGCTACTGGCTTCTAGTGAGGAGAGGCCAGGGAAGCTGCTAAACATCCTAATATGCACAGGACAGCCAGCCACGGAGAACATTCATCCGGCCCAAGATGTCAATAGTGTCATGGTTGAGAAACTCTGGTATAATGTCTTTTCGTGACTTCCAGGCCAATTGAGGGTCAACTATAGTCTGTTTTGTGTTTTGGACCAGCTACTTATTGAGAAAATTTTGTAATGTTTCTGATCCTCAACTTTCCCATCTGCTGAATGGGTGTAATAGCTATCCCTGCAATGCAACAATGTCAGGAAAAAATAACCTGATACAGTACTGTTCCAAGCACAGTGCCTCGCACGTAGTAAGTGGCCACAAGTATGTGTGGCCTTCCCTCCCTTTCCAGACTGAAGTCCTACACAACTCAGCCTGGTTGCCAAGTAGACAAGCATTGTGTTGAGCCCTGATTATTCAGAGAACACAACTTTGTGATAATTTGGATTTATTATCTGTGTCTCCCCACAACTGTAAGGTCCAGGAGGGCAGAGGTCAAAGGTGTCTCATTCATTGCAACAAGCCCAGTGCAGAAGCACAAGCAACACAGGTTCATTAATAAAGAATGGACCAGAGGGAGGGAGGAAGGAAGAGAGGGAGGGAGGGAAGGAGGGAGGGAGAAATGGAGGAAGGAAGAAAGGGAGAAAGAGAGAGAAGAAGGAAGGGATGGAGGAAAGAAGGAGGAAGAGAGGGAGGAAAGGAAGAGGAGAAGAAATAATAAAAACCTTCTCTTGTTGCAAAAAACATTGATCATGAGTTAGAACTGAAAGTGGAAACTCAGGCTGGAAACAAATAGCTGTTGCTTCTTAATCTTGCTGCAATCACAAATCATGACTGATCTCACCCCATAGTTCCTTCTCACAAGATTTCCTGTTTCCATCTCAAATCAAAGGGGCTCGGGCGAGCGTTCAGGACTGTAGGTGTTAACCTACCAGAAACTTCTGTGGCTGGTTCCTTTGCTGGCAGGAAACAGCCGCATTTCCTGCACATAGCTCTTTGGAAGGGGGAGTGAAGGCAGACAATCACACAAGTTAAAAAATTTTGAGGGAATGCATGCCTGCTTTCCACAGCAGCATCCACTCTGCCGTTCAGAGGCCTCCTAGCGAATCCCAGACTGAAAGAGATCAATTATGGGGGGAATGTTCCGCGTGCAGTCCTTCCTTCTGAACACTATTGCAGAAACGGTGGATTCTTTTCAGGATATGCCCATATTTAGACCATATGACTATCTGGATTAAGAAAAATATCTGTAGCTATACGTGTGCACTAGCTGGGAACAAATCGGTGTAGAGACGTATGCACATGGATCTTCTGCTCAAAATGAGTACTTCACGTGGAATTCTAGTCACGCAGAATTAACTAGAGAAGTGGTCTAATTCATCGTACAGAACTCAAACCTCAAAGTTAAAGCATTTCTAACAGGACTGCCCCAAATGGCTACACGATGGGTGAAATGTACTACTGAAATTTAGCTGAACTAAATAATACAAATGTCCAGTATAAAATACGATTTGAGATTGAAGTCCAAGTCTTAGCCTTCTCAGGCCTGGGAGACATTCTCAGGGTCTGAAAGCTGAGGTGGAGAAGGGGGCAGAAGAGGAGGATATCATTGGCATTAAGACAGGGCTGAAGGACTGTCAATGCTCTAGGCCAAATCTGGCCCACCACCTGGTTTTTAAATAAAGTTTTATTAGAACACAGACACGACTGTGGTTCATATATTGTCTATGGCTGCATTCCTGCTACAATGGCAGAGTTGAGTAGTTGGAACAGAGATGGGCCTGTTAGACTGTAGAACCTAAAATATTTATTATCTGATCTTTAACAGAGATAGTTGGCCAACCCCTGCTCTAGAGTACAAGATGGCAGATGGTGCCAACACCTTAACAGTCATTAATTTCACCCAGTAAATATGTCTAATGGAGAGGTGCTTCCCACAGGCCCCAAGCTCCCATGTTTCCTGGCCCACAGCTCCTACCAACGTTACTTAGTGATGAATTTATACACTGCTCTCTCCATCTTCTCTGTGTCCCCAGCACCTAACAATGTCTGACACGCAACAGCAACTCACTGAATGCTTTCAAACTAAACTGAGCCAGGAACAGCTTCCCTCTCCGAAGTGTTTATGATGCAGTATCCAGGCAACATCATTTCATGGGAGAGGACTACATTAGAGATAGGACGCCTGGCTCCAAGTCCCTATTCTCTCATCACTGGCTGCGTCACATCAGAGAAGTAGCTTAATTTCTCTGGGTCCCAATCTCCTGATCTATAAGATGCGGATAAAACTCCTATCCTGCCGCCTCACAGGATTAGTGTGAGGACCAAATAAAATAAAGAATGAGAAAGAATTTTGTAAACCACAAAAGAATAATAAAGGGTAGCCTATTTAATTATTTCACTAAGAAACTCAAAGAACACAATGGGTTTTGTAATTCAAAGGAATAAACGAATAAAAGTGTTGCAGAGAAGCTATATGTTAGAAGTGATTTTCTTACCTTCCTTGAGTCTATGACTGCCACCTAGCCCAGGATAACTCTGGGCAACTTTCCCTTAGGTATCTCAAAAGCCACTGCCTGTCAAGTCACCACAGTCCCTTCCAGCCATCCCCAGGCTCCCAGGAATGGCCACAAAGGCTCAAGGCTTACCTAGCTTCCGGTAGACTTGACTGGCCTCCTCACGGAGCAAAAGTCGGCAGCTCTGGCTCTGCAGACTGTGGGTGCAGCTCTGGGTATCAGCATAGAACATGCATCTCACAGCCCCAGGTCGGGTCTGCAAAGCAGTGACGATGCAGGCTTGGTGACGGGAACACTCTGAGGAAAGGAGAGAAGAGTGAGGCCTGGACCTCAGAGGCATCACCTCAGTCATCCATACATCCATGTATCTACCCAGCCACTCATCCATCCAGGCATACATCCATCCACTCACCCACCCACCCAGCCACTCATACACCCATCCATGCATACATACATACATCCACTCATTCATCCATCCACCCATCCATTCATCCACCCACCCAAATATCCACTCATCCATCCATGCATACATCCATCCATCCAACCATTCATCCATCCACCTGTCCATTCATCTATCCACCCATCCATCTATCCACCCACCCATCCGTCATCCATCCATCCATCCATCCATCCATCCATCCATCCATGCAATCACTTATTCATTTGAGTACCTACTACACATCCCAGGCATTGTGCCAGGGGCTAGGAATAAAACAGGAGTGGTGGGGAACCCAATCTTCCCCTCAGTCTATTTTCCTCACAACATTTAGGTTTTTGTTCGTTTATTTAATTGATAAATGTGTCCTTATCATTCTCCTGCTTAAAACATCTCCACGGATCCCCAACTGCACTCAAAATTAAGTCTTCTCAGACAAGGTCTTCTATGTTCCAACCCTTGCCTTCGTCTTCAGCCTCATCTCCCTCTGTCTCCCCTCTGCTTCCTCCGCCCTCTGCATAATACCCACCATGTTCCATTAGGGGCCATGTTCTTTTTCATGTGTGCCAGGTACTGTGCTAGACAATTAAAATGATTCACAGCATTCTGGGTATTCAGTCTTGAGAACAGCTCTGAAAGCAGTGATGCTGCATTTGACTGGGAAAGCTACGCACTGCCTAAAGGCCCTATTCACTGCCCAATCTGTGAATGGCGCCACTTAGAGTTGTGCAGCGCACAACCTTTCATCTGTACACGGTGGCCCTGTCTACACTACAGGCATGATTTCTGCATATTGTTATCCAACCTTATAAAAGAATAGACTCATGGAATCTCAGAATTGGAGGAGCTTAAATGTCATCTAAGCTCAGCCTCCTTCAGAATCTAGAAGTCTGTAGAATTTCTTCTCAAGTTGTCACCTAGTCTTTGTTTAGATACCTCCAGAGATTGGAAGCTATCTAAAGGTCGTACACATCTGTAAACAGATTTGCCTATTAGAAAGTTCTTCATGTTCAACTGAAAAATATCTCCTGAAATCTGGTTTTAGCTTCAGTTCCCAGCTTTGTCCCATTAGCTTGGCTACGCAAGTATAATTCCTCTTCACAATGATTGCCCACCTGTGATCTAAGGACAGTGGTCAGGGTTTCCACACATCTCCTCTGTTTCAGACCAACCACCTAGATCCTTCCTATGAGCTTCTGCTGGCCTGCCTTAATGTCCCCTCACTTGCTGGCCTGGCTTAACGTCCCCTCACTTGCTGGCTAGCTTAACGTCCCCTCACTTGCTGGCTGGCTTATCTCCTTGGAGACCTTGCCTACAGGCTGACCCTGGGGTTCTATGGAGGAGACCTCACCCAGGATCTATTCCAAGTTAATTCCTTCCTGCCAGGCACCCCAGGTTATCTTGGGCTCTCACGTGTGTTTCTGGGGTCAGAATCTCGAGTGGCACTGTGTGAGACCCTGTGTCAGTCACCCCTCCAGGAGGTAAAAACTCCCCTTACCCAACAAACAGAGGTCTCGGGCAGCAGAGAAGTCACTGGCAGCAGCAGTGCTGATGTGGGCAACATCAAAGTGCCGGATGGATGGATCGACAATGACTGAAGAGATGGTCAGGGACTGCCACGCATCCGGAGGGACTGGGAGAAAAAGCAGGGGATAGTCACACACTGATTCCATTTGTGCGTAACGAAGACGGCTGAGCCCTACCAAATGTCCCCAGGGACAACCCTAGGGGCATCCTCCTCATGGACTCCATCCTTGTGTGACCCTGCCATTATTCCTCTCTTCGTCTCTCCAGTCTACAGTCATGTATGACGACTTGCTTATGAGTCCAGCCCTGTGCCCAGGCCTGGGATACAGAGGTAGAAAATAACGATAAATAAATGCATGACTGTTTCCCTTAAGGAGCTCATAGTAAAATGGGAGAGAAGCTGAGAAGAAAATCATTATAATAGTTGTTATAATGCAATCATTAGAATTTTACTACCAATAATGATAATAACAGACTTATCCATGCTGTGTGGTATTGTTCTTGGGTCTTCATGGTCACCATATCACTTAATATAAGTTCACGGAGGAGGAAAGGCCCAGTTCCCTCTGTAGTGGACACTGTAGTGTGCTGACTAGGCCTTCTTCCCAGACTAAGATTCTCATTTCGCCAGCTGTTGGGAAGTTGGCGGCTGTTGGGTTACAGTTGAATCCCTCTCCAGGATTTGCTTTCGGTCTAGGAGAGCTCCCTCCCCTCCACAGGAACAGCCTGCATCCAAAATTGGTAAGAGGTGGTATAACAGTTAAGCACTTGGCTGTTAACCGAAAGGTTGGCAGTTGAACCCACCCAGCGGCTCCATGGGAGAAAGACCTGGCAAATCTGTTCCTGTAAAGATTACAACTTTGACAACCCTAGGGAGCAGTTCTACTCTGCCACATGGGGTTCCTATGGGTCAAAAATGGACTTGACAACACCTAACAACAAAAGCATATGAAGGCTTGACCCCTTTGTCTCAAGATGGATCAACTCTGAAGGACCATCTCAGCTTCAGAGCTCACTGAGGGATGGGTTACTGCAATTTCACTGAAGTTCAACTTCTCCTCTGCCTAATCCTGCCCACCCCTCCCCTTTCCTTACAGGTAGTATTACTGAGCTCATGCCACACTAAACTTCCTGCATGCAAATCTCCATCTCAGAGTCTGTTCCTGGGAAACCCCACCTAAAACATCCCCTTTTAAAAATGAAGCAAATGAGGCACAGAGAGGTTAAAATGACTTGCCCAAGAGTGTCAAAGGTAAGTGGTGGAACAAGACTGAAACTAGGTCTTTCCATGTGCCCAGACTGTGCCTTCAATGGCTCCACCATACTACCTCCCAAGGCCTGTAACACAGGACATGGCTGCCCACCAAGAGGGAGACAAGGTGTAGTGGGTGGAGGACGTGGCTTGGGCAAACGGGACAAGAGCATGCCACGTCTGGGTCACCACGTGCCCTGGTAGAGACAGGCTGTGTGTGTCTGTGAGGGTAGAGGAGAAGCTGAAAAAGGTTTCAGATTCCACTACATAGAAGGAGAGTGGGTTTAGGTCATGGGTGTATTATATTGTCCAGAAATAACTGCTGTTGTTGAATGCCATGGAGTCAATTCCGACCCATAGCAATCCTACAGGACAGAGTAGATCTGCCCCATAGAGTTTCCTAGGCTGATTTTTTTATGGGAGCAGGTCACCAGGTCTTTTCTCCTGCAGAGCCGCTCACTGGTGGGTTCAAACCACCGATCTCTCAGTTAGCAGCCGAGCGCTAAACCTTTGCGCCACCAGGACTCCTAGAAATAACACTAAAGAGGGCAAAATGCTGCCTCCCAACACAGGCCTCCCTCCGTGCTCACCGAGAGTGCTGACTCTAGATCACTCCAGAGAGGTGTGTGGTGGGTGCATCATCCATGGATAATTCCCAGAGAATAGCGAATGATTTTTTTTTTTTTTTGCTTTTGTCTTTGATGCTGTTTCAGAAGACCCCGTCATTTACCCTTTTAATAAACTTGTGAGCATTTGCCTTGTGTTTGCAAAGCACTGTGGCAACCTTAGGTGTGGTGCTTCACAGTTTACAAAGCGTGTCCACATCATCGTCACATCGGATTCCCACAGCACTCTGTTCGAGAGCTAGAGTAGGAGTTCAAAGGCCCTCTGCACAAGCGAGGAATCGGAAGCTCGGAAAGGTTACGTGACTTTCCTGAGAATACCACGCAGGACAGTGACCAAACCAGGAGCAGAATCGGCCTCCTGGCTCTAAATCAGCCCTCACTCCCTCACCTCTGAGCTTCCTCTCTAGCTGAGCACACTCCAGAGAATTAACCCCTGGTAGAGAGAGGTCTTTGTCGTTTATACACCATGCTCTTAGCTGTATAGGGAAGCCTGCAATTTTTATCTCAAACCTATCTTGGGGTCACTAAAATTAGAATGGTAAATAAAGTAGCAAAACAACATAGTACCACTAGCTTTTTTTTTTTTTTAATTAAAAGAAAAAAGACAGCAAACGTTTATCCAGAGAAGTCACCCAATAAATGTAATCAGATTTCACATCAGCTCAGCAACAGGACAGTGAACTGCCAATTCTAATTATTGCATTAGTATAATGCAATAATTATTATATGCAATTATTATAATGCAACTGCCTTATACCCTGTTCTGGGGCGCTGAGAGCCAAGCTCAGAAGCATGAGTGCTGTCCTTCTGAACTTGGGACCTGCTTTCACTGCAAGAGACTCTGGGCTTTGGTTTTTTTTAAGCATTCCCCACAGGTTGCTATTTTCATGGTCAATACAAGTGGCATTTTTGCAACACAACCAAAATGAGCTACATATTTCTAGCTGGCGAGCCCTCTGCAATTGTAGAGGATTATGACGGGGCTTTGGGACCGAACCTGCCAATTATGGGCTTAAACCAGAAACTTTGGCGGTCCTCCGTGTTTAGGTGGATGTCTAGGGGAAAGCGCTATAATTGAAGGGTGAATTTCATCTCCAGAGTGAGAGCCAGCTCCACTGCCGCACCCCAGGGCCTGGAGCCAAGTCCCTGTGGCGCCCTCCACCTGTCCCTGTCCCTCGCCGGCATGGATGGGACATTGTTGTCGTTGTGCAGATTCCAACACCTGGGGTCCCACAGGCAACTTATGATGATTCTGAACACAAGCTCCTCATGGATGCCAAAGCATGATTAGGCATGAAAGCTGGAGGTTCTTGGTAGCATCCTGTAAGACTTTACTATTTGCCAGGACACCTGCAACACTAGGTCACTACAACCCGTAAGGCAGGCACCACGGCTGCCCCCGTTTTACAAAGCAGGAAACTGAAGAGATGGAGCTAAGTGCCTTAGGGGCTTAGCTGATAAGTGACGGTGCTGGGGCTTGAACCGAGCTCCGTCAGGTACAGAACCCACGTTTACTGCAGCTCAGGACCTCCTCCGTGTGAATGACAGTGATGGCGGCTTTCGGAGGCTGGTTTCAGGCACCGCCAGCGTGGCACAGAGGCTGTGCTACTGACCACTCTGCTGTGTGGCAGTCTGGGAGGACCCCAACGAGGTGGACAGGCTGATGGTCCGTGTTCCATCTGACACAGCTATGCCGCTTCCCCCTCGACCTAGACCTTGCGGGCTCAGTGGGTAAGCACTGCCTGCTCTTGGTGACTCTTTCACACCATAAAGACAATCTAAGTGTGGAAGAGTTTATTAGCAAGTTCTAAGATCATGGAGGAGGACACGTTCTCGGAGGTAAGTGGCTCTGCCACATCCATTAACAGAGGGGAAACGGTGGAGGGAAAAGAGGCCCGTCAGTGTCAAGCAGCGCCTTCCCTCTGTGACCAGGTGATACCAGCAACAGGTGCTACCATTTACTGGGCAGGCAGTAAGTGCTTGAAAATTCATGCAAAGATCACCCAATTCAGTCTTCACAAGAGTCTACTGAGGTGAACAATATTCTCCCTATTTTACAGAACAGAAAAGTGAGGCTCAGAGAGGGTCCATGACTTAACTTCCACATCTGCAGCCTTTCAGGCAGGAAAAGCATTTCTGGAACCAGCAAACCATGTGAACCTGACCCAAGAATAAGCTGAATAGGAACAGCTAGGTGCTTCTCCGGCCACCTTCCCGGCAACCATCGACCAGCCTGGTGGGAAGCGCCCGGCGCAAAGGTCATCAGACAGGAACGACGCTCACAGACATCCTCATTTCTCGCCAGAGAGCATCTCTCAAGCGCAAACCACGTCACTCTGGGCTGTTTTTGCCCTTGTTAGTACTCGGGAAAACCACACTCCTTTGATAGCAGAAGGAAAAAAAAAAATAGACGCCCTTGCTATTTTGTGATCATTTAACAGATGAAAACGGGATCAGAGTTGTCTGTTGGTTTTGCATTTCTCCAGAGGGAAATTCACCGAACTTGCAGCACACCCCGCTGTGTCACTTTTAACATTTATAAGACAATAATAATAATACCCAGAGATATACTTTGCCTACTGAGAGTCTCTGAAGGCCAAAAAGCAGAACATATATATGTAATGAGGAGCCCTGGCGACGCAGTGGTTAAGAGCTTAGCCGCTAACCAAAAGGTCGGCTGTTCAAATCCACCAGCCGCTCTTTGGAAACCCTAGGGGGTAGTCCTACTCTGTCCTATAGGGTCACTATGAGCTGGAATCAACTCAATGGCAACATGTTCGTTCAGCCCCATATATCTATTTCTGAGCTCTCTGGTGAGCCTGGTTTCATCTTTAACTCTGTATCAACAGTGCTTAGCAGAAGCTTAGAGAGTCCTCCACGAAAACACCAATCCATTAACTCCCGGAGGGCCTGCTCTTCCCCAGTGTGACACTCTGGCATAAAAAAAGCTAGCTAAATAGGAGCAGACCGGTGCTTCTCTAGACACCTTTCCAGCCTCCACCGACTGGCCTGGTGGGAAGCGCCCAGTGTGAAGGTCAACAGAAAGGACCGACGCTCACAGACATGCTGGTTCCATGTCAGATAATACATACTGAAATGGCTAATATTTATTAAGCATGTCCTATTGGCCAGGCCATGGACTGCCAGAAGAAGGAACAAGTCTGTCTTTGAAGAAGTACAGCCAGAATGTTCCTTAGAAGCAAGGATGGTGAGGCTTTGTCTCACGTA